AAACTTGGACAAGAATTTATTTCTTCAGACAAAGTGAAAAAAAGAGGAGTGGTTTTTTATATCAAAGAAAAATGGAACCCAAAACTGATCTTTAAAGATGAGGAAGGAAGACACATAGCAGTGGAAATTACAGCACAAGGCGAAAAATATTTGTAATTGGGAATCTATGCACCTAATGATGGCAAAGCGGAATTCTTCAAGAACTTGGAAACAAGTCTTTTGGACTATTTGGATTACAAATTAATTCTAATGGGAGACCTGAATGGAGTTGCATCTACTTTGATGGATAGCACTCAGAGGCAAAAAAATTGAATGCTGGCAGACTACCTAAGGCTTTCTTTGACATAACTGACAAATTTGATCTGTCAGACATATGGAGAGTCAGAAATCCAACTGAAAAAGACTTCACTTTTTTTCCAGATGCAAACCAATTATTTTTGAGAATTGACTACCTATGGATATCCAGAGACTTGGTTCCTGAAGTATCAAAAATGGAAATTTGCCCTAAAACCTGCTCAGACCACAATGCAGTTTTTGTGGAACTGAAAATGTCCTTACAGGGTTCCTTCAGATGGAGAATGAATAGTGATTTGTTGAGAAGTACCCAAATTGTAAATAAAGCCCCAAAAGCCCTAAAGGATTATTTCGAAATTAATATGAATCAGGGAACGGAAACAAGGGTTATTTGGAATGCCAGCAAAGCAGTAATGAGAGGATTTCTCATTCAACAAAATTCAATTAGGATAAAGATACAGAATGAGAAAAAGATAAAATTTTGGAACAACTAAAAGATGAAGAGAAGGGTCTTAGAGGGAACCCAAAGAATTTGCAGATACAAAAGAAAATTAAAGCCCTACAGATTCAATATTCACAGATTATAAATCAAGAAATAGAATGGAAACTAAGGAGGATGAAACAAAGGAATTTTGAATCTGCAAATAAATGTGGGAAACTCTTAGCTTGGCAATTAAAAAAGAGGCAAAAGCAAAGTACTATCACAAATATTGTAACAGAAGGAAAGTCTGTGGAGAACCCTGTGGACATAAGAAAATGTTTTCACAAGTACTACAAACAACTGTATAAAAAGGAGAAAGAGGACCAGGCCAAGACTGGGCAATTTATTAAAACCAATGGTTTGCAGAAGATTCCTGAGGATAAAAGATCCTACTAAAAGGACTGATTTCAAGACAGGAAGTGGAATATGCAATAAACTCAATGCAACTTGGCAAGATCCCGGGACTAGATGGTTTATCAGCAAAATACTATAAGACATTGAAAGATTGGCTTATCCAATAAAAAGAGTGATAGTCTTACCGAAGCTACTCTTTTTATTCTAAACGATTCCAATTATAGGAAAGACCAGCAGTATTGACAAGTGGCAAAAAGAAATTTCTAGATTTTTGAGGAAGGGTAAAAGACCAAGAGTAAAGCATAAGATATTAATAGATACTGTAGAAAGAGGTGGCTTCGGGTTACCGGATTTGAAGCTATATTACAAAGCCTCATGTCTTCTCTGGTTGAAAGATTGGTGTTTATTAAAAAATTGGGATATTTTAGATCTAGAAGGTCATGACACCCGTTTTGGGTGGCATGGCTATCTTAATTATGGGAAAATAAAGGCGCACTGGAGTTTTTCAAATCATATAATAAGAAATGCTATATGTAAGGTGTGGGAAAAATACAAAAGATATTTGGAACAGAAAATCCCAAGATGGAACTCTCCATTAGAAGCAATCGCTGTTAAAAAAAACAACAACATCAAAGAGAACTGGATAACGTATAACACAATATTAAGGGAGGAGGAGGGTCAACTTATATTGATAAGTTATGAGAAAATAAAAGATCACTTTTCTAGTTGGCTAGATTACTCCCAGGTGAATGAAATGTTCAGACAGGATAAGCAGATAATAATAATAATATAATAATAAATTTTATTTATATAGATAGGTTTTGAAAAGGAACCTTCAAGATTTGAAAGAGAATTACTGAATAGTAAAACTAAAATAATCGCAGAAATGTATAGACTTCTTTTAAACTACAAAGTAATGGATGAGGAGATTAAGGCTTCAATGATAAAGTGGGCCCAAGAAGTGGGCTGTCCAATTATGCTAAAAGATTGGGAAAACTTATGGAAGATAAATTTGAAATTTACAGCCAGCTATCACAAAGAGTCGGACACGACTAAACGACTAAACAACAACAACAACATAATATAAGAGAGAACAGGATGAAAATGGCTCGTAGGTGGTACCTCACTCCTTCCAGATTATCAAGAATGTATAAAAATTTGGCAAATTCTTGTTGGAGATGTGGAGGAAATAACGGTGACATGATCCACATGTGGTGGACGTGTGAAAAGATTAAGATTTTTTGGGGGGAAATATACGATGAATTAAAAAAGATGATGGGGATAACTTTTACTAAAAAACCGGAGGCATTTCTATTAAGTATTTTAGATAAAGAGATCCCAAAAAATCTAAGAGAGGTATTCTTGTATGCAAGCGCAGCGGCTCGAATACTTGTGGCCAAGGGATGGAAAATAACAGATTGGCAAATCAAATTACAGGAATTGGTGGAGACGGCTCAACTGACTAGTAAACTCAGAGGAAAAATTTGCAGAAAAATGGGATGGTTATAGAAGATATGTTCAAAAATACAATAATAGTTTTGACTCCGTGCTAGCATTCGAGTGATAAAGGAACTAAAAGGAGGTGGACAACAATTAAGGATTTATTATGTTTTCAGAATGTATTAGAAAAACTATATAGAAAGGTTTATTGTTTTGTGTACATTCAAATGTAAGATAAAATATATGCAAAGGGACTTGACAGGAAGTCAAAGTTGAAGAAAAGATTTTGGAAGATAAAAGGGGAAAAAATATTTACTTTCATTATTATCATTTTGTGTGCGGGTGTGGGTGTGTGGGTGTCTGCACATATGTGTGTTGTTGTATGCAATGTTTTGGAGGAAGTAAGACGGTAAATAACAAATAACAAACTAAATATCAATGTATGTAATTTTTATTTCTTAATTATATTTAGTGGTAGTATGGCTGTATTGTTTTTTGTAACATAAAATCATTCAATAAAAATTATATTAAAAAAGAAAGAAAGATTGGCTTATCCAACCTTTGGTAGAAGTATGCAATTTGATTCTAGGAAGGGGGCAAAGCATCTGAAACCTGGAAGGAAGCTTATATTACTCTGATTCCTAAACAAGATCAAGATAGAGCCAATGTCAAGAATTACAGACCAATCTCCCTACTTAATGTGAATTATAATTTTTTTTGCGAATATACTGACTAACAGGCTAAAGAAGGTTCTGTCTAAACATAAACATAAAGATCAGGCAGGCATAAAGATCTGGAAGACACATGAAAGATAATATCAGGAATGTTGTAGATATTTTGGAAAAGCTGGAAGCAAGAAAGAACTGTAAAGCAATGTTAATGTTTACTGATGCTGAGAAAGCCTTTGACAATGTATCTTGGAGTTTTATGTTCACAATTTAGAAAGTATGGGGGTTGGTCAAGATTTTTTAAATGGTATTAATGCGATCTATCATGAACAAAAAGCTAAAATTATTGTAAACAATGTGGTATTGGAGGAAATTAGAATCGAGAAGGGAACCAGGCAAGGGTGCCCACTTTCCCCTCTGTTGTTCATTTCGGTCCTAGAGGTATTCCTAAGTATGATAAGAAAAGATTATCAAATTAAAGGTATTACAGTAGGATCCAAACAATATAAATTAAAAGCCTTTGCTGATGATTTAGTACTGACATTACAGAATCCAGACTCCAGTGCAGTAAAAGCACTGGAGCTGATACAGGAATTCGGACAGGTAGCAGGATTTAAGTTAAATAAGAGCAAAACCAAAGTATTAGAGAAAAATCTGGATAATGATGAAAGAAAGTTATTACAAGAAAAGACGGGCCTAGATTTTGTGAAAAAAGTTAAGTATCTGGGAGTGAATTTGTCCGGGAAAAATCTGAATTTATACAAAGATAACTATGAGAAACTATGGAATGAAATTAAGAGAGATCTAGAGATATCAATTTTAAATTTGACCATATCTATAGATCTCTCTTAATTTCATTCCATAGTTTCTCATAGTTATCTTTGTATAAATTCAAATTGTCACTAATTTGAAAGAAAGAAAGATGTTAAGTGATTAAGTTCATCCAATAAGAATATTGGTTTTGGAAAACTGTTAAAATGATATACACTGAAATACAACCAGGGGGATACGAGGAAGTCACTTAACAATGTTACTAAGATTGGTTTAAATACGGCTGAGATTTATGTTTGTTTGTTTGTTTGTTTGTTTAAAAAACTTTTTGGAAAAATAATAAAATCTTTTTTTCTTCTTCCAAAACATGACACAATTAAACTTTTGTGTCCCTTGACTATTAAACGGCATACAGTTTACTAGGGGCAGGGGAAGCAGGAGAGGAGCAGGAGACTCCAGATGGAGACTTGAAAGAAGCTTCTCCTGGGGCATCACAGAATCCCACCAGCTGAGGGCTACTGGATCAAGCACCCCAGTCGAAAGAATCCAGTCCCTAGGCAGGTATAGCAAGTGATACCAGTCTTTTCCTCCCTACATCACTAGAGTAGAAAACAAAAACAGATTATCCTGAACTTAAGGTGGTGAACTTAAGGTGAAGTGTATTCCAAAGCTCCGTTTGAGACAAGACAAGAAACACATTTTTTGCAGAGTGGAAACTACTGGCAGGACTTGCCGTAATTTAAATGCCTTAAAATTACAAGTCTTGGGTCACGGACTTCATGGTCTGAAGGGAGGGTGGAAACTGAGAAGGGATCAGAGAAGAAAGGAAGGCATATGAAGCCCTGCCCACAGAGCCTGCGAGGAGAAGTTGTCCTTTACACCAAAGACGGACAGACAAAGGCATTCAGTCACCTTTTTTTCAGGGTGCCATGAACAGACACCTCAAACATCCCTGCCTCCCAGTTCCAAGGATTAGTTGCAGCAACATTTACCTCTCCTTTTCCATCATGATCTGCACTGGGCTTAGCTGGTTGCTTTTACTGCCAGTTCCCAGCTGCCCATAAGTGTTTGCTCCCCAGGCGTAGAGCAAGCCCTCATCCGTTAACACCATTGTGTGTGCATAGCCACAGGCAACCTGCAAGAAAGAAAATGGAAATCAATGGAAATCATCACTCTAAGATGGCCACGAAGAACGAGAAATCACTGCTGGACACTTAAGTATCAGTTGCACAACCTGGGTTAGTTTTAAACGCCAAGGGAGTCTGCACACAGGTTATAAAATGCAGAGGGGGGGTGTCCCACGGTTCTCCAGATACTGTTGGACTGCAACTCCTGTTATTTCTGACTACTGACTGAGGCTGGGGGTGGAGAGAGCCCAACAAACATCACGCGAACTGTAGATTCCCTGGCCCAGGTATGAAAAGGTTTCACTGATTATTGATGGTTTGGTAAAATACTTGCAGAACAACTGAGAAATAACCCAAGACATCTTGTCTCCAAAAGATCACCAGTAAAATGTTGACACTTCCTAAACACAATCTCAGGTCTGGAAGAGGCAGCTGCGTCTTGGTTATTCCCTTTTCCTGCCCTTGGCAAAAACCACCAACTGAAGGCTGCCCCAGCTGCAGTGAAGATGGCAGCCATCTACAGGCTCATAGTTACCAGGCCTCTTCAACACCAACTGTTTGCAGGCTAGGCTTTGGTTATAAGCACTAAACAGAATCTCACAATAAACCAGGGGACAATTAAGCAACACAACTTACACTATTTTGTACTCACCTGCATTACACAGAGACCTTGTAGTGCAGCCACTCGGCATGGGGTTAGCTGGTTGCCATTGTTTCCCAGACCTAGTTGACCATTGCCATTGTAACCCCAGCCATATACCTTCATGAAGGAGGAAGAACAGTTAATCTGGATGCACTCCAGGGAAAGAGGTGGCCAGTGCAGTGTGCTGGTGAGAGCGTTAGACTATGGTAGACCCTGGTAGACCAGGGTTCAAAGCTCCACTCAGTCGTGAAGCTCAGTGGGTAACCCTGGGCCAGTCTCTCCCTCTAGCCTACCTCTTAGGGTAGGTGTGAGGGTAAAATGGGAGAAACACGGAACTCCTTGAAGGTGGGATATAAATGTAACAATAAAAATGAATTTAAAATAGCTCTAGTTCAGGGAAAGATGCTGAGAAAGGCAGGCTGAAAATGCACCTAATCCTAATCTACATACACTTCAGCTATCTGTTGCTGACTCATTTTTCTTTTGTGCATATGAACACTGCATATTGACTCCTAAATTATAAAATGAAGGGTTTTATGACTTTTAGTTTAATCTGCCTGCAGAGTTACTTGGTTACTCTGCCCTTCCCCTAAATGTTACAGGACAGTTCTGGAGGTACTGGATTCATAGCGTAAGTAAAAAAGTTTAACTTTCCAGCATTTAAGAGCAAGGAAGCAGCAATGTCAACACTATTTATAGCTCAAGTTTCCCCGTTTCCTGAGGATAAACTTCCTCTGACTTAAGCCTTGAATAATTGTTTACTAACTGCATCTGAGGTTTCAATAATTATCAAATGAGTCACAAATCCTACTTTTCCCTTTAACCACAAGATTTGCTCCCTCAGGTGATCCAGCATCACCTTCAGAAATGAATTTTAGATGATGAAGTGAACATACAGGTGCCAGAACAAGTCCTAATGGCAATGAACAGCCAGCAGGTGTCTAGTTTAAAGCCACTGCAGATCATCAGCTTCACAAAAGTTTCTGGGGCATCTCCTACTAGCCCTTTGTTCTGCACTTTAGCATTTTCTTACGCAGAAGCAGAGCCATGTGTGGAATGACCTTGGAATGCTTACCTCACCATTGTCCACTACAGCTATGGAAGAGGTTTGGCCACATGCAACGCCGACCACCACCTTCGTCTGCAGACAGTTGGAAACCTTGCGGGGAGTGGGCTGGTTTGCCGTGGAGCCTGACCCAACTTGTCCACAGTTGTTATAGCCCCAGGCATACACCTTGCCACAAGGAAAGAAGATGAAAAGACATCATGGGAACACACTCCAAACTTCTTTCAGAACAAAAATAATGCCTTTGAGTTGATTGTCTCCTTTTACCTTTTTAATTTTTTTTACCCTAGAACTCTTCCAATTTTAACTCCACTACTGCAGATATGCAGGTGACACATCAAAAGCCTTGCTAAACAGCAGACACTGTCCTGTGCCCACAGGTAGTCCGTTCCTTCTGCAAACATGCATCGTGATGCGAAGTTACATCATGTAACTTTACATCATGAAACATCATGTTACATCTTGATCTTATCTGTTAAGGTAAGATTTCAGTCCAAAATATTTCACTAGGAAAACACAATACAATGATTGATAGCAACATCAGATTCACTTTTCTCGGAGTTCTTCCCAAAATTTAAGACAGTTTAGAGATTTTTGAAATATTAAGTGGGATATCAATGCTTTTAAATAAATAAATACAGGAACACATTTGCATAACAGTAGGTTCTCAAAAGCAAAAGTTTAGCAAGTAATAATATACATATATAAAAGACTTACATCTCCATCAGATGATAGTGCTATAGAATGATGGGAGCCACAAGCTACTTCAATTACTTTCTTAATTAGCAAATTGGTACAGATTTGAATGGGTGTAACACCCTGATTGGTGGTCCCATTTCCAAGTTGACTGTATCCATTATGTCCCCAGGCATAAACTTCACCATCTATGAAAGGCACAAAAGCACAAATGTCCATAATTTATTTATCTAACCCTATAAGATGATTCCCAATTCCAAACAACACCAGACAAAAGCGGGTCAGAAAAAATATAAGGGACTGCATCCAGAGCCACAGCTCCACTCATGCAACAGACTTCCACGCCCACAATGCAACTTCCTCTTCTGCCCCCTCCAGACCACCATGTGGCCTCAAAATCTGCTCCAAAGCAGAATCTGGGGGCATGTAGGGGAGAGCATAAGAAGTGGATGTCCCATTTCACAAGCAGAATTCTGCTTGTACAGTGTGGAAAATAGCCCTAAGTCTTAAGATAAGTACCTGAATTAGAACCCAATCGTTCTGAAAGGTTTGAGGGAGTGGGGTGTGCACACACATGGAGTGAGACACTTAAGCCTTCTTTAGATTTTATTTTTCCTAGGAAGCGCTGCAGCATCTGCATAACTTTACTCCTCCCTGGTCTGGTGAATGCTGCTGCACAAAGGAAAACACTGGCAATTGCAGCCACAGGCTCCACCTTTAGCACAAGCTGCACACACGCATCAAAGGAAGATGTCAAAAGACTGCTCTCATTCTTAGGGTTGACGTTGGAGACAACATTGCAGGAAAAGATCCATGGGGGGTTGCAATCCAACAACGTTGTGAGAGCCACCAGTTCGCACCCTTGGCGAGAGGGAAGTGCCTAATAAAAATCTGCAGCCCAAGCTTACCACAAATATTTAAGCTGGGCAAATATTTTTAAAACCATGTCCACATCCCATTGGAAGCAACATAGTAAAGTAATTTAGTGTCTTGCCCAACAAAGTAATCAACTTTCATGGCCAAAGAGAAGGAACAATATACACTTTCACTCATTCATCCAATTACAGCTATTCCATGAATGGGTTTACTTAAAATCAGATGAGAAGAGAAGATATCCATTCTTTGACATGGGAGACTCGATTGGGAAGAGTCTCAATATATGTGTGTAGGAGCTGAGGGGAAGATGCAGCCACACAGGGAGGTTAAGCCGGAACAACCTGTTGTTGGAATGGACTTGCCAACAGCGCAAGGCCACAACCACATTTTCTTGGAACCCATTTCTAACGACCTTTGCTTAAATTTAGGGAGCATGCAATTAGTATTGCTCAAGAGCAAAACTACCTTCTGTACTAAGTATTACATGTGGTCCACTTCCATAACTGAGGCTGCGAATCCTCTTTCCGCATAAAGTTTCAAGTTTCTTTGGTACAATGGTACTCTGGTTATCTCCAGTTCCCAAACAATTACTACAGTTTAATCCAAATACAAATACCTGGAAAGAGAGACCAATCACACTATATTTTAATGCTTATATTTATAGCAACAGTCATCAAGATGAAAGTGAATCAGGGTAAATATACAATTTATAAGATTTAATAGGATTCTTACTATATACATTTCAGCTATAGTGTCTTTATAACGATAGCATGGTTTTGCAATGAACTTTAAACGGCCAAAATCTGGCAAACTCAACACAGTATGCTATGGATAAGGAATGCTGGAGCTATGATTATTTTATGAAATTGGATTTCTTTTATAATATGGAAGGAACACTCTGATTTTAAACATCCAAGGTCAAAACGCATTTTGGTTGGAATTATACCCATGAAAGCCACTGTATAATTTACTTAACTATCACCTGTATGTTCAATTTTCTTTCTTTGAAATTACTCCACATATACAGCATTTGTACTTAGAAATGTTTTATTTTTCTTATTCTTACATGTTTATAACATTGATATAGGAAGCCATGAATCTTTACCAACCTTTGGAGAACTGGGACAAAACTAACAAAGTCAGTTTCAATAGGGACAAATGTAAGGTTCTAAGAATGAGCAGTAGGGACTGGAATGAGCAATTCAGGTTTCTTGTTGGTTGGCTGAGAGGTTTTGAGACAACGCGACGGCAAAAGGAAGGTAACTTTACCAGCTCCATCTGGTACGCAGGCTGAGACCCTACCTGTCCGCGGACTGTCTCGCCAGAGTGGTGCATGCTGTAGTTATCCCCCGCTTGGACAACTGCAATGCGCTCTATGTGGGGCTACCTTTGAAGGTGACCCGGAAACTGCAACTAATCCAGAATGTGGCAGCTAGACTGGTGACTGGGAGCGGCTGCCGAGACCATATAACATCAGTCTTGAAAGACCTACACTGGCTCCCAGTATGTTTCCGAGCACAATTCAAAGTGTTGGTGCTGACCTTTAAAGCACTAAACGGCCTCGGTCCAGTATACTTGAAGGAGCATCTCCACCTCCATCATTCTGCCTGGACACAGAGGTCTAGCGCTGAGGGCCTTCTGGCGGCTCCCTAGCTACGAGAAGCAAAGTTATAGGGAACCAGTCAGAGAGCCTTCTTGGTAGGCTCCTGCCCTGTGGAACACCCTCCCACCAGATGTCAAAGAGAACAACAACTACCAGACTTTTAGAAGACATCTGAAGGCAACCCTGTTTAGGGAAGCTTTTAATATTTCATGAATTAGTGTGTTTTTATTTTGTTGGAAGCCGCCCAGAGTGGCTAGGGAAACCCAGCCAGATGGGTGAGGTATAAATAATAAAATTATTATTATTATTATTATCATTATTATTATTATTATTATTATTATTATTATTATTATTACTTGTTTCTCCGAAGGGCCTCATTCCTCTGATTGCAGGCCAAAGGCCACTTGTGGGCCACAGGGCCAGAACCCCAAGGGGGCTGGCACTCCTTGTCCTCTCTCTTGTTCTCTTAGATAGCTCCATCAGCCAAAGACTATGGGTCAGGCATCCAGGCCCCATCTTGCCCTCAGTGGCATAGGTGTGTGACTGCCAACACCTCTGATAGCCAGGACAGCCTCCATGCAAACCGGCTGCCCCCTTGATTCTCAATTAACTTTAATTTAATCATTTTTTCCCCTTCTCATTTAAAACACAGTCTCCTCTTAATATATTTAATATCATACTGAATGCTCTAGTAAAACAAACAGAAGAGGAAATGAACCAGAGGATCTCATAATTTGTTTTAAAGAACTTTTTCAAATAATTTTAAAGAAATATTCTGAAGTTGTTCAACCAGCAAAGTGGTTTTGAGATTTGTTTCTATCAGCTAAGGAGCAAATGTGCCAATACAGTGGTACCTCGGGTTACAGACACTTCAGGTTACAGACTCCGCTAACCCAGAAATAGTACCTCGGGTTAAGAACTTTGCTTCAGGATGAGAACAGAAATCGCGCGGCGGCAGCAGGAGGCCCCATTAGTTAAAGTGGTGCTTCAGGTTAAGAACAGTTTCAGGTTAAGAACGGACCTCCAGAATGAATTAAGTTCTTAACCCGAGGTACCACTGTACATACCATTTGAGAGAATATACAACTTTTTTAAAGCCTTAAGATTATCTTTAAAAAATATATCCAAGCATACAAACATTTGCAAATCACTTGCGTTGTTTTTGGCTTATGCACCAGATATACAAACTTTTTTTTTTAAGTTAAGCCATTTAACCTAGACAACCCAATATTTACCTCATCACTGTGGGTGATGTATATCGCTTCATTGGCAGATGTTCCAAACACACATGCTTTTCGGATGGTTGATATTTCTTGTGGCGAAAGCAAAGTAAATATTGGCCACTTTCCAACATCCATCATGACTTCACAGTTCTTTATTCCAGACTTATAATTATGCTGGCATTTTGCCTCCAATTAAAACAAAATCATGGAGTCACCTGGAAGAGAAGAAAGGATAGAAAGACTGGATTTTCAGATATGGAAAACCTATTTCTATATTGTGGTGCAGACACAGAGATGCCTAACTCTGGGTTACACAGATTTACACATGTGTGTAGTACAGCTGCATGGATGTATTCCTAGGCAGCCCTGCAAATAATCAGAGGTAGCAGTCGCACATCTCCTGATGCACTTGTTAACCCACCAGCCCATACCCAAAGCAGAGAGGGAGTTACTATCCCATACAGACCGTCCACTACTCTTCGCCTTCCCATATCTACAGGGAGTTGCCAGAGTTGCAGCTGCTATTTCATTTTGAACAAAAACGTCAGCTAAGCCTGTGCGGGCAGCCTTCACAACATTGCTATAGAGGCTTACTAAATCTGGTGCTGAACAGAACATGAAAAGGCTTGAGAAATGGCATTCCACTGTTGCAAAGCAGCAGCACAAACATCAAAAGCGAGCTTTGTTGCCATTGCTCAGATGACATCTCTGAAATGACCCAACAATGCTAGCATACAAACCAGGTCAAAACAAGAAATCCTGCAAGTTTAGTGGTATTGAAAGTTAAACAGAGACAACCATGTTTACATGAAACAAAAGGTAGACTGTCAAGGATGTTTCAAACCTAAAGCTTTAACTCTCTGTAATACCAGGAGTGACAAAAGCTGTTTCCATATCTCAGTATTGTTTTTTAAAAATCTTACCTCGTTGCACACAGAAGGAGCTGAGCTGATAAAACCAGTGTGCAGCACAAACCTTTGAGATAATGTCACATGAAGCATGTTCTGTACACTCTGTAATTCCCTGCAAGGGCTGCTGGGAATTGCAACATGTGAAAGACACTAAAATTCAGGAAACAAGTAGCCAACACATATGTGTGGCTCCAGACACTAGGCTAGAAACATGTGGACCAAGGCAAGCGATCATGTAACAAAAAAGGAGGCTAACTGGAAAAGACTGGTAACTGGGTCACCACCTGCATGTGGCAAAGAGGCTTCCTCAGCCTCCCAAACCCAGACTCTATCCACTGGCCCAAAATGGGCCACGGTTTATTTCAGGGATGAGGAATGTCAAGCACAGAGACCAAATGCAGCACTCCAGACCTCTCTATTTGGCCCTTAGGATTCTCTCCAGACCACACCCCATTCACAGCCACATCCTTTGCTCAAAGAGGGTACTAAGTAGGGTCCGTGTTTTTGCCAGGCCTTGAATTCTGCTCATGCTTTTTGTTCCCCTACACCAGGGGTGTCCAAACTTTTTTCAAAGAGGGCCAGATTTGATGAAGTGAACATGCATGAGGGCCGACCAAAATTGTTGAGCTTTTTATTTTTAGGATTGAAGTTGACCCCAAAGTTGTTGAGCTGTTTTTAGGATTGAAAATTCAGGTAGGTAGCTGTGTTGGTCTGACACAATCGAAATATATTTTTTAAAAAATAAAAAATTGTCTAGTAGCACCTTAGAGACCAACTAAGTTTGTTCTTGGTATAAGCTTTTGTGTGCATGCACACAAAGAGATGGGTGATTTACCATAACCATTAAGTCTATCACCCATCTCCTACTACCCACCTGAGAAAAACCCTACCCCACCCTCCCACTATATATAAGGGTCTGGTGACTTCTGTTTCAGTGTATCTGAAGAAGTATTTTTTTTATTTTTTTATATATTTAGGATTGCAGTTGTTAATTTTTTTTTACAATTTTACCCCAAAGGTTTTTTACGGATTTTACCCCAGGACATACACTGCCACGGGGGCCAGATTAAATCAACTGGTGGGCCAGATTAGGCCCCGGAAACAGGCTTTGGACATGCCCGCCCTACACTGAGGGATGTCCAAGTGTGTGGGGTACCCTACTGTACAAAGGAAAATGTCACACTTGTGGTTCTGACCACTTTTCCTCTGTCCCCCCACTCCCGGCATAAAAAAGTTTTGACATAAAAAATCTCAGAGCATGACATTTCCCCAGGAAATCAAAGCATTTGTTTGCACAAAACATGAAGTGATTCAAGCATCTCACTAGACTCAAAGGATGGGACTCAACACTATTCCTCCTCAGAGTAGAACCATGGACATGACCCACTTAGGTTCATTCATTTCCATGGGGTTACCCTGAACAGGACATTGCTGAATGCAAACCATGGTGTTGGAAAGTACGGTAGTCCAAGTCCCATAGTCTGACAGCCCTTTTGCTCAGGGCAGGATGCCACTACACAGGCAAAGCTCTAGGGAAGCAGCGCCCACTGTCTCCCACGGCTGTCTGCTCTGCTAGCCAAAATCTGCTTCCCTGTAGTTTCCACCTACTGGCTCTGGATTTGCCTTCTAGAGCAGATTTTCAGATATTTAAAAAGCATTATCATCATGTCCCCCTTAATCTTCTCCTCCCCAAGCTAAACACAACCACAGCCCCAGTCCCCATCAGACACTACTGGTTTGGGGTTCCATTTTAAATCAGAATATGTTACATCGTTTGAACCATTAAGGAAGATATAGAGTGCTAATTACACACTGCAAAACAGATTTGAGTACATTCCTGTCTTAGCTGCCCATTTAAAAATGTGACATTTCTAATTTCTTTCAGACATAGCTTAAGGATAAATAAAATATATTTTGGTTCTTTTAACAAGTTTAAATGATTGTTTTAGGAGAGAAAAGGGGTTCACAAATGGACATACGGGAGACCAATGGTTGCCGTGCCACTTGAACATATGGACGTATCCTGCAAGAGCTTGAATAGTGAAACTGTCAAGTTAGGCCAGCACTGCCTTTATAATTTGGACGCATCTGTAACTTCCATCGCCAGCCACAAAAACGCTCCTGCCTCTTAACTTGGCTGAAATCCAAAGCGCCCCTCCTGACTTCGAGTCTTTTATGCGGCAGCAGCAGCTGACTCAGCCGGGACGGGCTCCGCTCTGAAGAGAAGAGCGCTCCTTCGGGCCTTGACTCCGGAAGGGGCTGGCCAGGCCCAGGGGAGGCCGGGGGCGGCGCGAAGGGCCGCGCCTGGCCCGCGCCCCCCTCAGAAAGCGACGCCTGCAGCTCGGAAGCCTCGTCCGCGGCCCTACCTGCCAGTCTCGTCCGGCGAGGCGACGGCGAGGCCCGGCTTGGGGATCTCCGGAGAGGCGCGCCTTCGCTCCCGCCCCGAGGACGCCGGGCGGCGCTGCGCGGGGGGCGGAGGAGACGGGCCGGCGCAAGGACCCGCGCGGCCAGGCGCCGCTCCGCGAGAGAGCTCCGCCCGCTCCCTGTCCCGCGCCTGCTCCGTGGGGCCACAGCCAATCAAAGGCGCGGGAAAGGCGGCCTCCCGACGCCCCTTGGATCGCCGTAGAGCTAGTAAGCGGGGAAAGCAAGAGGGACGCGCTCCCGGCCCTGCCTTCCCTCGGAGGAGGCGAGCTCCAAGCACTGCTCTCCTGAGGGAAGCAACAAGCACAATTACCAACTGGCCACATTGTGTTTTGGGCACCTCGCACCGGGGCAGAAATGCTGCTTGCGTGGGCACCGTTGTCCCTCCTCTTTCTGCGAGCCGCATCTTGGCACCCCTTCCAACTCTACCATTCTGATTCTACATACCCTGCTGACGTTTTAAAGCAGGTGCTTCTGCCTTCACAATTGCCAAATACTTGTTTACAGGGTTTGTTTGTTTTTAAGTTTCTGCATCAGAGGCCTAAAGTGTTGCAGGTAAATATACTTCGAAGTAAACATGGTTGCAAGTTGAGCTACAAGCCCTATTCATTTCACCTGAGAATTTGTCATGTGGATCTAGTGGAACCACCTGATTTGATCACTTTCACAACCCAGACACGAAACTTGCAGCCTTAGTTTCCCCTACTTGTTAGTTACACAATTCTACTGTAACAGAAGGGAAATGCAGATTATGAAACAGTGTCTGTAGCATAGGGCTTAACGACTGCAGTGTTCATTCTACACATCTGTATTTGGAAGTAACCACTGCTGTTTTCATTGAAACCCACTAGTTAAATAGTGTGTACACTGAGTAACCCTCATTCCAGGAAACAATTAAGGCTAAGTGATGATAGTACATGGGAAAGGACATGCAAAGCATGAGATGGCTGTGAAACCAGAAATAAATGAGAGTCAATAGAAAGGAGTGGTTATCCACCATCCCTAGGGATAACTTCTCCTACTGTGCCTCACTTGCATATTTTCCTATTCACAGCTGCCAAGAGATTGTGCAGCTATTCCGTTCTTTTTTCCTTAATGGATTTTCTGTGGCAAGATAAAAAGATAAGAACACACACAAGAGATCACAATTTGCTTACTATTGTCGTTGGACTGCCGTACAATTGTGTGAAGGAGGCAAGATGATGGTACATTTAAAGCTTTGTCTGGAAGCACCCCAAGAAAGACAGAAGAACCCTAGCAAAAACACGGGACAATTTGACAATGCACTATAAAAAGTGAATGAACAAAGCAAGACAATTCCACATTAAACATCCTGTTTATTATTGCACACTGCTTTGATACTTATGTGAAAAGTGGGATGTAAACCTTTTAATGAATATACAAAAATAGTGAGGAAGCATCATCTGACTAGCAATAGCACTCCAGAGTATCAGCATCTCTCTGTCACCTTCTTAAGGGTAAAGGTACCCCTGCCCGTACGGGCCAGTCTTGACAGACTCTAGGGTTGTGCGCTCGTCTCACTCTATAGGCCGGGAGCCAGCGCTATCCGCAGACACTTCCGGGTCACGTGGCCAGCGTGACAAGCTGCATCTGGCGAGCCAGCGCAGCACACGGAACGCTGTTTACCTTCCCGCTAGTAAGCGGTCCCTATTTATCTACTTGCACTCGGAGGTGCTTTCGAACTGCTAGGTTGGCAGGCGCTGGGACCGAACGACGGGAGCGCACCCCGCCGCGGGGATTCGAACCGCCGACCATGCGATCGGCAAGTCCTAGGCGCTGAGGTTTTACCCACAGCGCCACCCGCGTCACCTTCTTACCTGACTCCTAACTGGAGATGGTCTATCACTGAGCATTGGGATCATTTTATCAGTATTTTATTTAATCTACGCTGGGATTCAGGGGGACTTACATTTCAAAAATGTCATTACAAAATACAAGTAATGTTATTAGCTTAACAATTGTTGGAAACGTAATGTTGGGGGGCTTGCTGTGCAGGAAACCTCTACCCCGTATCTGACTTCAACAGCTTATCTGGGCTCCATTTCAGCCACCAGAATTGTGAAATTTACCAGATCGGTTGAGAAGCAGTTTCAGTCTAGTCAGATACGGTGGCTACATATATATCCCCTTATTTCTACCCCCAGTGGCTTCTGATAGTCTTTTACCCCTGTTGCAGGTGTATATGTCATGCTGTTACACTAGTGTTGGATTACTGCATATGTGGAACACTGCAAGTATATTCCCTGAGATTAGTTTCCTATCACATACAGAATAGGACTGTACTATATCTTTTTTAAAAAAAGCATTCCTGCCATTGTCATTTTACAATCAAACTGAGGCTTGATTAATTTGACAATGACCACAAATTGCTATGCGACACCGTATTTTTCCTTCGAACAGAAGACTCTTTAACAGAACAAAGATATCAGACAAAAGTTATGACACCTTTTTGTACATGAATATCAATGTGCTAAATACAAAGCTTCTTAATTAGATGAATGTTCAAAATAAAGAATTATTATATATTATGTTGACCATTGTAAATACTGTTTTATTTTTGGTAATGCTTTAAGAAGTCAGTTCAGGTTACTAGAGGACATATTGTCATTTGAAAATGGTCAGAGAAAAGTAAGCCTACAAATCCACTTAAAGCACATCACTGTTTTCAAAATAAGGTCTTACAGGTTTGTAGTATTTGATAGCAGCTTTTTATTGGTTATAAAACCTAAGCCCATATACAAAATTAGGAACACATTTAGATGCCTCTTTTGAAGTAACAATTTAATCTATTAACTGAGAGTTAAAAAAATAACACAATGCAATTTTAAACCACTTCTGAAAACTTAAAAGTGCAGCAATATACTTTTGGCTTGCATACAAAGATCCTAACACATGGCATGACTGGAAGAAACTTTGCAAGTGGGGTAAGAGAGAAGGGATGCCATTTCCTCCATCTGCAGCCTTCAGTGCCTCCTGTTCTGGAGGCCTCTTGACACTCTGATATCACTTGTATCAGTAGATGGGAGGAAACTCTCAGCACAACTGCAAAAATCTCCCCCTCTTGCACAGCAGGATCTTTGGATTCAAGCCTTTGTTTCCTTTAACTATAAAATGGTTGGATCCCAAACAAGGGCTGATAAGGTGACAGAATAATGAGAAAAATCTAAGTTACTGCTTTAAACAAGTTTTCCTATGTTCATCTCAGTCTTCACAGTAGTGAAAAATCATTTATCTCATTTTGTGTGTAGCATCTAAGACAGCGGACACAGGCATACTATAAAATGAGGGGCATTTTTTCACATCATCAACTGCATACCTGCTTTGAAATTCCAAAACCTATGACCAAATCTAATTCTGATTTTGAAATGTCTAGTTTTTAGCAAGCACAACACAATTCCAGTAAAATGTGTTAATATAGGACACAGTTACCAAATGAACTTAATGTCTGGGTAAAGAAAAAAGGCACAATGAACTTCAACTCAATTTTATGTGCACAAGAGTTGAAAAGTCTGAGCCACCTTAAAGAGAAATTGATTTTAAAATTTATAAAACCTATAAATAGAGGCCAAACCACTGTATTAAAACACAGTATCTAGCAAGTAAAAATCTTGCAGTTTAAAACACATACTTGTATCATTTTAAGATACAATACAACTCACTCTTTAAAGTGGCTCCACCTTGGCAGATAGATTTAATGAATGAACACCTGCAATGTTTTGCTCATCAGTGGAAAAGCAGCTGATCAACAAAGCTTGTGATGGCATCCGTCCTTATCTTCGTCACAGTAAATACAACCCACATCCAATAACTACATTAGTTTTACGTTTTCAGTATCCCTTCACATCAAGGCATTGGGGAAAGTACATCCAGTGAACAACAGCAACAATACCAGTTTGTGTGACAGGTTACAAAGTTTAAATTTCATCTTTACCCACAGCAATCCCAGATCCTTTGAAAAGCCAGGCTGGACATTACCCCAATATTAATGATCTCCCATGTTACCAGCTTATGCAAATTTATTCATGGTGAGCTGCATGTTACGCTTCTTCTGAATAGTAGCAGCTTCCACAAAGCCTCACACAACTAATACATATCTTAACTATATGAATAGGTTTAGAGACTAATTTTTCTATTATTCTTCCAATACTCCAAGAATGAAGCTTTTATGATGCTCCTAAAATAGTTGCTAGTTTGTTGCCAACCACATCATCATAAGCACTGGTAAGTAAAAAAATAGTTTAAGACTAAATTACAGTAAACATGAAAGCTCCACAGTTTAAACCAATATAAATCAACATTATTCAGTTATAAATTTAAAACAAAAATAATGCATTGACTACTAAAAGATGAAAGCAAGATTCTTGCTAACCAATGCTCATTTGGGGTAGCTTTGTTTCTTTAATATGGAATTCTTGCTTTCAACTTAAAACGAAGTTCAAGTCCGTAACAGATTGTAGCTCAGGTAAAATACCATGCACAGCATTTTCATTATTTCCAAAACAGCAGGAACACACAGGCTGAAGAGTGGTCAAGTACAGCTTGCTGTTCTCAAAAATTAGGTATACTGGTCATGTTTTACTAGTCCAAATGCAAACTTCATTCTTCAAACCCAAGCTTCTAAGGCAGTAATGAACACAATTACTGATATATGTAGTCTGTTTTTACACTAATCAATTACCAAGTTCTTTTAAAATTTCAGTTTCACCAATGAAAATAATTTGACTTGCATTTTCTTTGTTTATTCTTCCACATTAAATATATGAAAATATGTTTGTAGAGGACAACAGTAGAGGCTTAAAAAATAAACAGGGCCTCTTGGAAGTCTTCCAAAATGTAAGCATCATACTAAAGAGTCTTGATCCACAGTGCACTATTTTAGAAAGAAAGCTACTCTTCTGTGGAAAGCCAATGAGCCGCCACCACAAAGGGATATTCTTAAAACTGCAGACTGCAGTTGTCAGCTTGTGGCACCAGGGGCAAAAAAAAAAAAAGGCAAAAACAAGAGAGGGAAGGTAGCAGGGGTTGTTAAAAAACAACTCTGAACAGTTTATGAGATCATGCATATGCATTTATGGTCCGTGTGAGAGTTACTTTTGGCAACGGCGAAGTGACGGAGATACAACTTGCTTTAGAAGCACCAGACAAAGAGGCATATGCTTGGAGTCCTTTTTTCAACGGCAACCATCGGGTGGTACATTTTACAGGTGTGGAATAGAAAAGCTGCATTGTATAGAACTTAAAAATTAAATTCTTTTGTTTGAAGATTGGCCGTTGGATCAAAATTGTAAGTACCTCCTTGTGTTGCCTCAGGAATGAGGCTGGGATCTTCATCAATCTACAAAAGCAAAGAAAGTGCATACCATGGGATTTCATTGTTCACCTTAAAAATAGCCCCCACTCACAGACAACATATTCCGCCCATGTTACAAAAGTTGAGACATTTTCAAATCTGCTGCTCTTATGAGCAATCTCCTGGGGCATTGAGCTGGCGGCAATCCCTCCGAACTCTATTTGAGTGCCAATAATTACACTGGGCTGGCTTGCTCCTGACAATGAGTTGGTGATGGACCTAACACACTACTAGACCCTGCAGCTCACCTCAAATAGTAACTTAACTGTTATTACTAATGCATGAAGATAGCTACTAATTCCTCAAATAAATACATCAAGTGATGTCCTGAAACCAACTTGAGGCTTTGAGAAAGCTAGAGTATCATTTTGTCTTTGTTTAGCAAAGTAAATTATTTGTAAGTTATTGGGGTGGGGAGTTGTTGTTTCAAGAGGCTGTGCTGACGGCAGGGAGAGGCAAGTAAGCTATTTACACACATACATACATTGGGGTGCTACATGACAAGGAATATTACTTATTTCCAGCACTTTTATTTCATGCTTACTGTACTGTGTACATGACTATTACTAAATTGGTCCTCCAAATTGAAGTGAATTACAGATTGCAGCATTGAGCATGCAGAAGAGAGGGTGTTAAGGGTAGTCTTCCAGCATTACCCAGCATGCATATGTGAGTATTTGTTCCACAACATTTTAAAGTTTTCATAATCTCCATCCTCAGGTGCTGCTGTAAACTATGTGCAGAGCACCTATCTCAGTTGCAAGTAATGCATATCTTAGGAACCTCAGCAGAAGCTGCTGCATCCTGTTTTAACAAGCCAGCACGTTTCTGTTTTGCTGGTAATATGAAGTACTGCACAGATGTAACACTGGCTGGAATAGAACACTGAATGGAAACTGTGCCTCCGGTGTACAGGGAAAAAGTGGTTTTTCAGAGCATTTTACATTGGCCCACACCAATATTTCTGCAGAGTACTCAAAGCAGCCACTTACTGCTGTTACATTTTAGAAGTCAGAGGTACTTACTTCATCACCAGAGAAATACTGATCTATTATTTCAAATGCTAGCTTATAAATGTCTTCATTCTCATGTTGTTGCAGTGCTTCAATTTTCTCCAAGCCTGGTCAAAGAGAAGCAAGAAAAATGACAAGTTTAATAAATTAAGAAATTGCAAGCTGTAACCCAATTATGTCTGTCTGCCAGTGGAATGAAGATAGCTGGTGGCATGGAATCACAGAAATGTAGAGTTGGAAGAGACCATGAGGGTCATCTAGTTCAGGGGTCAGCAAAGTATTTGTGGCTTGGGCCGGTTCACGGTCCCGCAGATGCCATGGTGAGCTGGAGTGTGTGTGTGTGCGTGCGCAAACGATATTTCTGACGCTCCTTCTGGCGCGGAGGAGGCATGCGCAGCTTCCCATTGGCTGCAGGAACTTCCTGCAGCCAATGGGAAGCTGGCCAGCGTCACGGAAGGCGGTCCCCACTCTGCTCTGCGCTGGTTTAGCACGGCACACGTGAACCGACCGAGCGGGCAGCGGGGGTCCATGAGCCTTAGGTTGCCGACCCCTGATCTACTTCATCCCCCTGCAATGCAGGAATCTCAGCTCAAGCTTCCATGACAGATGGCCACCCAGCCTCTGTTTAAAAACCTCCAAGGAAGGAGAGTCCACAACCTCCCAAGGGAGACTGTTCCACTGTCTAACAGCTCTTACTGTCAGAAAGTCTTTCCTGATGTTGAGTCAGAATCTCCTTTCTTATAACTTGAAGCCATTGGTTCAGGTCCTACATTCTGGAGCAGCAGAAAACAAGCTTGTTCCATCTTCCATGTGACAGACCTTTAGATATTGGAAGATGGCTTTCATGTCACCTCTATGCCCAACTCCCCCAACTGAGTCCGATCCTCATAAGGCTTGGTTTCCAGACCCTTGGTCATCTTGGTCTAACTCCTCTGTGCACATTCCAGCTTGTCCATATTGTTCTTAAACAGTGGTGCCCTGAACTGGACACAGGACTCCAGGTGGAATTGTAGGGTGGTACTATGACTTCCCTTGAGCTGGACAGCTAGGCATTCATGCCAGGCCAATATGCACATTCCCTTGCGCTTCAGAGAGAGCTTTCAATTCCTATGTGTGAGAAGTGTACCCTTTTCATTAAGTCTAAGTGCAATTGTGCAGGAATGTCTGCAAGTACAAGATCTTTGCCTGGGTGATACTGGATGTGCACATCCTAATTTTGTCACTGCATTAACATGTGCCAAAGCCTTTTTGGGGTGCTCAACAATGGCTTCTGCACAGTGGTTTCCAGTGGTTTATGGTCCAATTGGACGTGCACTGTCTGGCCAAACGTAAGTTGACGGAAGCATTCCATTCTGAACACTACAGCCAACAGTTCTTTTTAAATCTATGCATATCCTATTTCAGTTTCTGATATTGCTCTGCTGGCCAGTGCAACTGGCTGCAGTTTCTGTAGCAGGGCAGCTGCTTTTCTGAGGCCAAAATGACATGGACCAGAATCGATCAAATTTGGACAACTAGAGGACTGGTACCGAAGATAACGAAGGTAGAAATCTGCCCAAAGACTTGCTCCGACCATAATGCTGTAAAGATGGTAATGAAATTAACACCAGTCGGCTCCTTCAGATGGAGGATGAATGACACCTTACTAAGAGATCACGAAGTTATTAAGAAGGCTCAAAAGACTTTGAGAGACTACTTTGAATTAAATTTGAATACCACGGTTGAAAAAAGAGTAACCTGGGATGCAAGCAAGGCGGTTATGAGAGGGTTCTTAATTCAGCAGAATGCAATAAAAAAGAGAACTCAAAATGAGAAGAAGGATAAAATTTTGGAGAAAATAAAAGAAGGTGAGATTAAATTAAGATCTAAACCCAAATCACAAGAGATTCTGAGAGAAATTAAGTTGTATCAAGTACAGTATATGAAAATGATAAATCAAGAAGTGGAATGGAAAATCAAACAGATGAGGCAAAAAACTTTTGAATCGGCCAATAAATGTGGAAAACTGCTAGCTTGGCAGTTGAAAAAGAGACAGAAATTAAATACCATTACAAATTTGGAGATAGAAGGAAGGAATATTCAGAATCCAGAGGAGATTAGAAAGTGCTTCCAGAGATACTTTAAACAACTTTATACACAAGAGCCACAGAAAGAGACGGATATAGACCAATTTATAAGAACTAATGGACTACAAAAAATCTCTCAAGAAAAAAAGACAATGTTGAACCATCAAATTACAGAACAGGAGATTGAAGGTGCCATTCAGAATATGCAGTTGGGAAAATCTCCAGGGCCAGATGGCTTGACTGCAAAATACTACAAAACTCTGAAAGAGGAGTTAATTCAACCATTAAAGCAGGTTTGTAATGAGATTTTGGAAGGGAAAAAGACACCTGAATCGTGGAAAGAAGCTTTTATTACACTTATACCGAAATCTGAGATTGAAAAGACACAACTCAAGAACTACCGCCCCATATCCCTGTTGAATGTGGATTACAAAATTTTTGCTAACATTTTGGCAAATAGGTTGAAGAGGGTTTTGGTTGAGGAGATACATCGAGATCAAGCCGGCTTTCTCCCTGGCAGACATTTGTCTGATAATACGAGAAACATAATTAATATCCTGGAAAAATTACAAGTAAATATTAATACTAAAGCAGTTTTAATTTTTATAGATGCGGAGAAGGCCTTTGACAATATTTCCTGGAACTTTATGAAGAAAAATTTTCAGGGTATGGGGGTGGGTCAAGGATTTGAAAATGGTATAAGTGCAATTTATTCAGAGCAGAAAGCTAAATTGATAGTCAACAATGTGGTGACAGAAGAATTTAAGATAGAAAAAGGAACACGACAGGGTTGTCCTATTTCCCCATTGCTTTTTATCTCGGTCCTGGAGGTTCTCTTGAACATGATAAGAAGGGACCGTATGATAGAAGGTATTCGGGTCGGAGCTAAACAATACAAACTGAAAACTTTCGCGGATGATTTGGTTTTGACACTACAGGAGCCAGAATCTAGTACGAAAAGGGTGTTGGAACTGATTCAGGAATTTGGTCATGTGGCAGGATTTAAGTTAAATAAGTTAAAAACTAAGGTACTTGAGAAGAACTTAACACCAATTGAGAGGGAGAGGTTTCAGAAAGAGACAGGGTTAACGTTAGCTAAGAAAGTAAAATATTTGGGGGTTCATTTGACTGTTAAAAATTTGAATTTATTTAAAGATAATTATGAGAAATGTTGGTTGGAGGTAAAAAAAGATTTGGAAATTTGGTCAAATTTGAAGCTTTCCTTGTTGGGGAGAATTGCGGTTATAAAAATGAATGTATTGCCAAAAATGTTATTTTTGTTTCAAACACTACAAATTGTGGACAAGATGGACTGTTTCAAGAGTTGGCAGAAAGATATTTCTAGATTTGTCTGGCAGGGCAAAAAGCCCAGAATAAAATTTAAAATATTAACTGATGCAAAGGAAAGAGGTGGGTTTGCCCTGCCAGACCTTAAACTTTATTATGAATCAGCAGCATTTTGCTGGTTAAAAGACTGGCTGCTTCTTGAGAACACGGACATACTGGACTTGGAAGGGTTTAATAATGTATTTGGATGGCATGCATACTTGTGGTATGACAAGGTAAAAGCTCATAAAGCATTCAAAAACCATATTGTCAGGAAAGCTTTGTTTAATGTCTGGATAAGATATAAAGACCTATTGGAAAATAAGACCCCAAGGTGGTTATCACCAATGGAGGCAATGGCTGTGAAAAAACTCAATATGGAGGCCAGTTGGCCGAAATATTGGGAAATCTTAGAACAAGAAGGAGACAAATTAAAATTGCAGAGTTTTGAGAAATTAAAAGATAAAGTGTGAGATTGGTTACATTATCTTCAAATAAGAGAGACTTATAATTCAGATAAAAAAATTGGTTTTCAGGTGGAGAAATCAAAACTGGAAACGGAATTGTTAGATCCAAAAGCTAAAATATTGTCAAGAATGTATAACTTGCTGCTAGAATGGAACACGCAGGATGAAACGGTTAAGTCAGCTATGATTAAATGGGCACAAGACATTGGACATAACATTATGGCGGCAGACTGGGAGCAGTTATGGACCACCGGTATGAAATTCACGGCATGTAATGCCTTAAGAGAGAATATTATGAAAATGGTATACAGGTGGTACATGACTCCAGTCAAGCTTGCAAAAATCTATCATCTGCCCGATAACAAATGTTGGAAATGTAAAGAGACTGAAGGTACCTTTTTTCACCTTTGGTGGACATGCCCAAGGATTAAGGCATTTTGGGAAATGATATATAATGAAATGAAGAAGGTATTTAAATATACTTTCCTGAAGAAACCAGAGGCCTTTCTCCTGGGCATAGTCGGCCAATTGGTGCCAAGAAAGGATAGTACTTTTTTTATGTATGCAACAGCAGCAGCAAGAATTCTTATCGCAAAGCATTGGAAGACGCAAGATCTACCCACCGTGGAAGAATGGCAGATGCAAGTAATTGACTATATGGAGATGGCGGAAATGACTGGCAGAATCCGAGACCAGGGAGAAGACTTGGTGGAAAAGGACTGGAAGAAATTTAAAGACTACTTGCAGACACATTGTAAAATTTATGAATGTTAAAATGATGTGAGATATAAAATAATATGGCATTAGTGAATAAGTTATGAGGAGGCAATAAGGAATGTAAGAGGGATGAAAGTTTGGAGACAAGATTTATTTAAATACTTTGATAGAAAATGAGATATGGAGTAGGAATTAGCTGAAGCTGACGATAAACAGGAACACAAGGAAGGGAGGAGAGGGGAAGCCAAGAAACAGGGTTATGAAATTCAGAATTTTGAAGGGATTTCTATGTTTTGTTTTTCTTTTTTTCTTTTTTCTGTTTTATGTTTTGTACTATTTTGTTTGCTATGTACTTTTATGTATCTCTTAAAAAACTCTTAATAAATATTTTTTTTAAAAAAACACAAATGTACTTCCTATAGAGCTAGTATCCAGAAATAAAAATGCCCCACTGGTTCTCTCTATTCCACCAGGTTTCTGTTGCACCAACTTTATCAATGCTGTTCTCTTAAGACCAAACACATTCTGTTTGGAGGTGGAGTGATATCGCATTTTACCAAATCACATCTTACCTCCACATTCTTCTATAATTTCTGCTATTGTGCTTGCTTCATCACCAGCCATTATTAAAATGTTTTTCAGCCCATCCAGAACCACCTGAACCACTTGAGAATCTTTGACTGACAACAAATTACAGAATGGTGGGATCACATTCTGTTGCACAAGGTATTCAACCTAAACAGAAGAGATACTTATGATTAATTTCTTCCTTATAAATGGTTCCAAGTTTACTAATTTGACTACTTAAGACACATACCTGATCTTTCCTACCACTTATTGTTAAGTTGCTGATTGCCCAAGCAGCTTCCTTTTGTGTGCCAAAGTCTCCCTAAAGGATATAAAAGGTGATTTAAATTAGCAAAGTAATATATGTAGACATACAATCTTGCAACAAAAATATGAGAAACAGCCAGATTCAGCATTTGACTGACCTTAGCCAGCTGGTGAATGATCATAGGGATAAGTCCAGCATCTATTACAGCTTGAACTTGTTGCTGATTTCCTGCAGTGATATTGGAAAGGAACCAAACTGCTTCCTGAAATAAAACAAAACAAAACCCTGCATGTGAAGTTGTCTTAGGCACATTTACCAGTGCCTGCTAACTTGACATTTTTAACTTGAGATAGAAGGGATTGAACATAGAATCTTCAACATAAAAAACCCATTCTTTATCAACATGCTTTTAAACTTTTAATTTCAGCCTGTTTCCAGATAGAAACATTGCATGGTGACAAAATGAGATTTCAAGCAACTGATACTTTTCTTCTGGAAATTTGTTAATAAAAGCTGGGTGGATGGTGCATTTATGGATGTTCATGAGTTGTGGGAATAGAATAGGATGGGATAAGTTGTGCATATTGTATAATCTGTTGTAAATTTAAGACAGAATTTGGGTGGGGTGGGGGGTGTAGTTAGTGAGGTAACTGTGGTAGACTGTGAGTCAGGATGTCCTTTGGCAAGAGGGAAGGTGTTGCCTTTCAAAAGGTGGAGTGACTATAGAAGTGGTCCTCCAAAGGTGGAGGAAGCTTACAGATGGGTCCTGTTTCAAAGCATTGAAGAAGCACTGACCAACCAGTCTGAGTGTTCACTTCTACACTTCATGAGAGGAGCGTGGAAGAAGTACGTGAAGACATGTTCCCAAAGCAGGGAATGAGTGAACCTGTAACAGCTTCTTGGAAAGCAAGCTTCAGGGTGTGAAATGGATTGAAATATTTGTGTATATTAACCACACATAAAAACCCAAATGACTTGGTATCAGACATTTGTTTTCCCAGACTGCCTCAAGTAACAAATAAAAGTTAATGAGTCTGCATTGAGAGAAATGAAAGTAATGAGAAGTAAAAAAGAGAGAAAAGGAACAGAGGACTCTGTGAAATCAACTAAAACAGAGCCATATCCTCCGGCCTCTGAAGCAGCTGCATCCATTTTTAACATAGAAAGAAAAGTTATCAGAGTACCATGAGCTTTTCTTAAAGGGATATCTGGAATTCTTTACCACTGAGAAGCTTAATCCCAGTTCTTAAGAAGGATTTCAAGGTTTACACTGCTCCAGTGCTGGTGTACAAAATGGGATCTGCACAGTCAATTCCTTCCAGAAGTTAGTTGCTATGGCAGAAACAAACAATGATACTTCATGGGAGCACTCAACTACGTACTAATTAAAAGTGCATTAATGGAATATAAAGTAGAATGAGGGAAACATTTTCTTTGGCATTTTTTAGATCCCTTATTTCTTTATTGATGGCATTTCTATACCGCCCTTCACAATGTATTTTCAAGGAGCACTGGGGCAGAGTAAACATTTAAATTCTTCTTCGGAAAAGGGGTAATTTTTCCCGTTCAGTGCAAAAGCTGAGACTGCTTGTTCTGTTAAGCTAAAGAACAGATCACAGAAAAAATTCAATGAGTACTCACCTTGTTTATTTTCTCTTTTGGATGTGTCAGAAGATTTGGGAAATGGGAGAGGACATCACAGTTGAGAACAACTTGTGTCTGTTCATCAGTACCAGTTACTATGTTGCCAACTGCTCTTAGTGCTGCCGTCTACATTTGAAGAAAAAATATTAGTAAAATCTTTGATGGCCTTACGAGGTCCAGGCTTCATTCCCTAGGTTAGTTCATGTGGGTTAAAATTTGAATTCACCCAAAGTAAGATTTTTAAAAGTGTATTTGTTTTAAATTAAAGACAAATAGGGGATGCATACTGATTGCCACTAATGATAGTGTGGCACAGCCAAGAGGACTTCCAACAGGCAGGCAGAACCATCCCCTGTCAATCACCTGACATCAAATGACCCCTTTTTGCCTGCACTGGTCTTGCAGAGTGTTTTGCAAGCGGCTCAGCAAGACCTGGGAACTACGTGATCATGAGGTCTTGCAAAGCCCTATGCACAGTCCATTGAAACATAGAGCTCTGCAACCTGCAAACCCACTTTCAGCAGAGTCAGGGCTTCACCTGCCCCACACTGGGCATCATCTATGGTGCCAGGTGTATGGCAGGTGGCTGTGGCTTGGGTCAAATGGGGAAGCGTGGCAGGCCGAACTAAGGCTGCAGGATGGAGGACAACCTCACCCAGAACAGGCATGTTGCCCAACTCCAGGACCCAGGAACCACCGAACTCATGGGACTCTGTCCTGCCAGGGTTCAGTTTCAGTTTACTGTCCCTCATCCTTTTCTATGTAAATCCTTCATTTCACACCTCAAAACAGCTATGCCATGAGGATACCTTGTCTGGATTGATCATCTCCTTCCTCTGTCTGAGACATACACTATAAACATTCAGCTTTGAAGCAACAGAATAAGTTCATTACAATAGCTAAGCTTTAATAAAGCCTAGTGGAGTGAAACATGGGTTACATTTAAAAAGAAATATAAATTGTCCTATTTTTAATGAAACTTTAAGAGACCATATGAATAATTAAAAAGCATTGTCTAAGTGTCTTTAAACAAATGGATTTAACATTTGAATTATTGACTTTAGTTTTTATGTACAACAACAAAGCTGATCAGGTTTGAACAATGCAGAGGAGATAATTTCAGTTATAATAAAATTCACCCAAAAAATGATTACCTGAACTTTTACCTCCTGGTGGCTCAGAAGGGGAACTAGGAAAGGTACCACACCAGAATCTATCACCATCTGAATTTGCTCGTTACCACCATCTGTCAGGTAGGACAAAGCCCAAACAGTGTCCACAAGGATCTGCAGAGAAGGGAAGTTTCCTTTGTCAATGTAAGATTGCAACAGACACCCAAATGGGATTGATCCCCCTACACAACATGTCTGAAATGAATGACATGCTGTGAAAGAGAATTCTGTATGTTCAAATTGTTTTCTTGTGTTTTCTCCACAGTGTTTATAATTTATTCTGAAAACAAGGTACCATGGTACCTCGGTTTTTTAACATCTCTGTTGACAAATGTTTCGGTTTTCAAACGCCGTAAACCCGGAAGTAAATGCATCCGTTTTTGAATGCACCTCAGAAGTCGAATGGCTTCTGCTGAGTGTATAAGTTATTTCCCCTCAATTTTCTCTATTAAATTTGCAGACCGCCCTTTGCGTCTCGGTTTTCAAACATTTTGGAACTCAAACAGTCTTCCGGAACAGATTATGTTTGAAAACCGAGGTACCACTGTAGATGGTGCTGTTGACACAAAGATTAGCAATGATATCAGCATGATCTTAGGAAATTCCAGCAAAGGAAGAAAATACGTATAGCCTGCCTCAGCATAGGCCTATTTTTCTAGAGACAGAATTGATTTTTTCTTAGGTCTTCTTTTAGCACCAAAATGAAACAGTGCCAACAGCCCTAAGGGCAGATTAGCTGCCCCCCAAAGTGACCAGAAGATGTCTTTCTAACGTAAAAGCTCTGGATTAAACAGACATTCAGATAAAACCAGTGCAGAACAATGTTGCAACAGGATGCAGGAATCTAACCAGCACCGTAGAAATAGCATGAGCACTAGCATGAGAAATAGCACTAACCACTTTTGAACTCATGGTATATCAACAAAAGCATCTCATGGGGGGGCCTAGCCTCTTATTGACTGTGTGTACCCACACTCCTATCTCCTTATACAGTCATACCTCGGGTTGAAGTACCTTTGGGTTGAGCGTTTTCAGGTTATGCTCCACGGCGACCTGGAAGTAACGGAACGTGTTACTTCCGGGTTTCGCCGCTCGTGCATGCGCAGACACTCAAAAGTACATCACTTGCATGCGCGGAAGCAGCGAATCGCGACCCACACACGGGCAGATGTGGGTTGCGTTCGCTTCAGGATGCGAACGGGGCTCTGGAACCGAACCCGTTCGCATCCAGAGGTACCACTGTATTTGTCTAAGTGCCATCTTCTGTTTATATATTTACACACACACACACACATTATATATATTATGTAAACAAGACTGTAAGCCACCCCGAGCATTTGTCAGTAATGTGGGGCATAAATGTGGAAAATAACATCTGAACAATTTAATAAAAAGTATTAAGAATTAAATTTGGTATGTTAGAACACACTGGTAACAGCAGTTTTGGATGCCATATCATGATTGAGGAGAAATAAGAGTCTCAGGAAGGAGGTTTGACCCCTCTAATTACAAGGAACATCCCACTCACATCAGTTTTAAGAATCCTGAAATATAAACTATATGGCAATCTTGGAGCTTTCTCCAATTGTGAACAATGTCTCTCTAAGTTCAGACTGTTTTTATGAACTACAGATCAATCAAAAGAGATGAAACCAGGTTGAACACACAATATATATATATTTTATTTTAAGTTTCTCAGGCAAGTCATCTGTCTAACCAGAACTAAGTTTCCATATAAACTGGGAACAACACCAACCTTGTGGTTTGTAATGTCAGTTTGTGATATACGTAAGACAAAAATCTTTTTAGTACTGATTTTTTAAAAAAAAAAGAACTAGCAAAATATGCATTGTGATTAAACAAAGCGTAAACTGTACTTGTTCTGTTAACAACAAACATTTAACAGCACAATTCTTTATCTGTCTATTTGAATGACAGGCCCAGGGTGCTAGAGAGCAATTTCTCTCCTCTAAGTGTTTATAAAATGGCAGCCAAATTAAATAGTAAAAAGAAGTTTAAGGTTAACTCACAGCTTACATGCACATAACTTGCACCATTTCAACTTTACGTGGTTCATAGCCAGCTAGTTGAAATCACACAATTTAAACACATGGAAGACTTTTAAAGCTCTTTTTGTGCAGAGTTTACCCAGTGCGAAAAGCTTTCAACCATTCTGCCTTGCTTATCAGACTCTGGAAGGCTCTCACGAGGCTTTGGAGAGCTCCGTGCATATGCAAGTGGCTAAATGGAAGTGACCAAAAAGATTCCCCACCCCTGAGTCACCTTGCATGTAATGCTTCTGGTTGGTTTACTCATGTGTAAAATGCCGTTTTGATAAAATGTAGCCAGATAAAGAAACTTTGTAAAATTATATTTCAAGTGATATAGAGCATGTTAACTATACATGGAAATGAAGGCTGGGGCTGTAAGTTGACATTTTCATGAAATTACCCTCCCATCATCCCTGGTCATGGTAGTCTAAGACATCTAGAGCACACCAAGTTGGGGAAAGACTCTCTAGGCAAAGAAGCTACTGTATGGCACAATGCAAACAAAATTTAAGTAAGAAAACTCTCAAATACTAAAAGGAAACCTTAGATTGGAGAAGAATGTATTTCAGCATTTACTTACATTTATGTCTGTATGGTATATGAGAACACACAAGGCTGGCAAGATCTGGTAAAGATAAGTTTATTATAATGGGTCATTAATGCTAAGGAAAGCCAAAATACACTGTGGGTAAAACCTCAAGCAAATCTGTGGTTACAATCCTATGCACATTTTTCTGGGAGTAAGCCCCACTGAGCACTGCAGGACTTACATCTGAATAAACATGCACAGGATTACACTCTCAATTACTTACTGCAGTAACAAGTGTTTCTTAATCAGCTGGTGCCCTACATTTTACACAGTTTTAATGCCTGGCTTCAATCATGTAAAAATAAGTCTATAGCAATTTCATTTTACAAGGAAGTTATGAGAAAGAAAGAGTGCAAACTCACATATATAAGATTGAAAATTTACATTTATCAAGCAGTTTGCCAATGGCTAACACATTTCTGGCCCACAGTCAGTGCTTCTCCTTTACGCATAAACTTTTATGATTTTTATATATGTTGTTTTTCAGTTAACTACATATTGTGAACTTTTCTGAGAGCAGTAGTGAAATTTAGGGCTGGAGATAAAAATATGGTTGCCCCAGTGGAAGCCAGCACAAGCCCCCTTGGGATAATGTGGCTTTCCCCTGTTTCTTCCCCCTTCACCCCCCTAATTGGATCTGGGAGAACCCTCAGAACAGCATGCAGGAAGGAGGTGGTTTACTCTTAGCAAGCAGAAATGCTTGCGCTATGAGACACTTGCTTTACTGCGGCATGCAATGTGAATTCCACTCTTAGTCGAGTCACAGAATTGTTGAGTTGGAAGGTCCAACCCCCTGCGATGCAGGACTAAAGCTACAATCCTAAACCCACTTACCTGGCAGTGTGCCTCACTGAATTAAATAGGACTTGCTTCTGAGTAGACATGGTTAAGACTGCACCATAAATCTGTTTTGTTCCCTATTTGAGCCCAGAGGTACAAAGCTAACATTCTGGCATCTCACATTATTCCTGAATCTAGATGTTACCACTAATCCACAGAATCCACTACATGGGAAAGCAGAGGTAGTGTTAAATCACTCCCTCTATCATATTATAGATGCCATCAGTCTTTCAACAGTTTGTTTGGGTGTTTTTTTAATTAAAAAGCCGCTGCACAGGGCTGTGAATTTATTTGGAACAGTTGTGACAATATTTGATCCTTTCCTGTAGGCAGGTAGGCTGATCTATCTAACTAAAATAAGAACTGCCACCTTATTTTCCCACTCGCACATGAAGAAACATAGAGTCCCTGTATCTTTTTCCTGTGAGGAGTAGAGCAGCTTGGGGAATAGTGAATTTTATCACAAGAATAACCCACAGGGAAGGCACTACACCTGCATCCCAGCATTTCTGGGAGGAATGAAGGCGACTTCTCTCACACTCACTGCTCCATGAAACGGCTTCATTTTAAAGATTGTTGACTTTGCCCATAATCCTATATATTCTTACATAAGATTACACATCCCACTGACTAAAGGATTCTCATGTAAGTTATCGCTGCTTGTGCTTTAGGCTGTAACCATCTTTTATTTAAATAAGTGGTTCCCTGCAAGGTCTCTTGTCTCTTTGAAGACTACATGCCTCGTTAGTCTGTACTGTTTAGCTGCTGAAATTAGATTCTGACTTCAAATCAAGAAGGAAGGTAAATGCCTCAGATACTGCCATAATTAATAACTCGTAAGTGGAATGAGATACAAATAAATATGCATTAAGAAAGTGCACACAGTACATATGCCATCATGGGAAAACTGACTTGCAGTGAATTGCAGTTGTAATTTTTTATTTACCTCCTGCACTGTCTCCATAGGTGGTGGGGGATCCTTATTCCTGCAGAGATTTACAATGACCCATGTGACGTTCCGGAGGAAAGTGATGGGAATGGAGGGGTTGATGAAGGATAGAAGCGGTTTGACAACTCCCAGTGATATGACATAATCTCTACACTGAGGACCATCACCTACAAAAGTGAAAATTTCACAAAAAATTACATTCATGATGGAGAAACCTTGAAATGTATGCAGTGACTTATGTTGGGGTCTTGATGCGCTATGTTTCCCCCACTGGTAACATACGAACACTACAAAAGTTACGGTTCAATGGAAATTTGAAGAACACAATTTGTTGTAGAATAACTTCATCTAAGTTTTCCAAACTGAGGATGTTTTCTTATTTAAATCAACTGGACTATTAAGAGCACTTAAGAGGAAACATAGTTTTATGGGGTAATGTCAATGTATGATTTTAAAGCCTTCAATGCCTGTGATTTCTTCTCTAGAAATATAGTTAACACTTACCAATAATATTTCCAAGGGCCCAAACAGCTTGTTCACAAACATTTTGATGTGGTGAATGCAGCAGTCTTAAGAAGAGAGGTACTGCATCTATAACAGCAGAAAACTGGATTCATTGAAATGATAAAATGCAGCTCTTTTAATAGATAAATTTCACATAACTGAGTTATACTGTTACTATTTCAGGAAATTATTCTATGTTTGTTCAAAATTAAATTGGAAGTGCACCTTTGCATAATTAATTTTTTCAGACAGAAAGAAGATATTGATATTGACATTCACATTCTAAATAAAAATTTGAAGTAACGTGGAGGCTTTATTTAGCATCAAGAAAGTTAAAATTGTCTTCTCACATTACAAAGATCTGTGTATATTTTGTCAAAGGGCCTATCCACCCCTTCAAATTATTATGTCCCCCTTCAAAAGCCAACTGTGGAAGAACAATTTTAAGTATTGGAAACACGTGGGCTTCAACTAGTAGAAACTTCTTTCAGACTCAGTGCCTCCCTTCTCCATCTCCCACATTGCAAGGGATGTCTGAGGTACAGCATGGTCTGTAAAAGATGGTTTCACCTACTCGCTTGCTTGACCTTACAGCAGTGGCCTCAATAAAGAGATCTAACTAGCCATCCCTAAGACTATTGCCATGGGCAAAACGAGGCCTGCTACTCTCAGCAATGCTTCATGTATTCCAGAATGGAAAAGCTAGAGTGGAGAGCAATCACAGGATACAAAAAATGAAAATAAAACAACTTAAAGAAGCACAACAGAAGCACAAAGCAGCAAGATAAAAAACAACCAGGACTGTATAAGTCTTGGAAAATCAAAATGTCTTCTTCTGGAAATGAACAATAAAGTTGGGATCAGGTGGCATTAGGTTGATACCACCTAATCTCAAAAGGCAGGAGAAATGTCTACTAGAGGGTCTCAATGCACAGCCAGGTGGCTTTCTTTAAGGTCTCCAGGGTAATATCTGAATTTTTGTTCAGAAACAGACAGCCAGTGCAGTTGTTTAAGAATTGTTGTGAGAGCCTAACAGCTCTATTCTGGACTAACAAAAGTTTTACAAGGAAGAACTCTTCAAAGACAATCCCATGTGCAACACATGCCAGTAGTCCAATTTAGAACATGGGTGACTGTGGCAGAGTGACCTCTGCCTGGAGGGGATGTATCAGCCTCAGCAGTAAAGGGTCCTTTGTGCTATAGATGCCACCCGGGGCTCTTTTGAGAAAGCTGTATCTGTCAGCAACCCCAGACTGCAAAACGACCCTATGTGGAGGTTAGGCTTGCTAAGCTTTGGGGTCCCTTCCAACTCTACAATCCTATGATTCTATGAAGATGAAGTTATATGTGTATCTTCAATTGCAAAATGCACCCACTCCCAAAGTTAAACACTTAGAGCACTTACTAGACTGTACAACAGCTTGAGTCTGTGCAGAAGTGCCTGAAGCTATGTTAGTCAGGGCCCATGCAGCCTCAAACTGTAAGGAAGGACTGTTAAAAAACAAAAACACCAGAATAGCAGTAATATTTGAAACTCACAAAAAATACCAGCAGAAAAGTACATGCCAAATTTCTATTGAAATAGTAATTCAATATACTGTAATCAGATGCCATTATGTATTTCTACCTCTTATGCCTGCTACAACTTCCTTGAAATAAAGGTAGAAAATGCAATCCAACATTGAACTATTGTTTCTGAGTCCTTCTATCAAGATTTTTTTGCATAACATCAACACATACAGAACTTGTGACACTAATTTTCTTTGATAGTTACCTCACCAGAATACCCTAGTACAGAATAAACTGGCACAATACATTCACATCAGACTTCCAAAGCTAAGTATTTAGTCACAATAATACAAAAGAACAACCCCTGAATAAGGATAGAAGAGTGGTGCTCTACAAAAACAAGAAGGAAAAGTGTAAAGGAAAAAGCCAAAGCTCAAGAGACTTTAAAGGTGGGGGGGCTTGATTTTTCTGCCCCGAAGACTGGGCTAATATGAGGAACCCTTCCCCAGGTTAGAATCTGAAAACAGTCCTCATGTGCCTCCTGGACAGTGGGGAAGGGGAAGAATGCACACAGAGGAGGGTTCTTAAGTACTGGGCAGGTCAAAATATATGGATTGTGGGCTGTGTCTGGCCTGGGGGATCACAACTTGTACACAGTCTTCTAGAATGACTATGTCAGACCTGCAAGACACATGGTAGAACTTGCTCCTAACCAGACTGTTGACATAAGCTTCAGTAGAGTTTGAAGCATATCAAAAGTAAATACCCAGTTACAATGTTCAAAACTGCAAGCTAGCTGCAACCCTCAGCTGATAACCATTCAAATTATGTCTGAGGAAGTACTGAGAAAAAGGAATCATTACTTACTTATCATCCCTTTCTAAACATTTAACCAATATTGGTAAAATTCCAGATTTTATTAGGTCATCAATAGGAGGATTTCTGTCGCTTGATAATAGCTTTCTGTAAAATTAAAGTGAAGGTGGTGAATAAAAAAAAAAGATGGGAAAGACAGCATTCATTGTACTTTAGTCCTCAAAAAACAAATAGATGCCTACCTTGCAGCTTGGACAGCACTTAGTTGGATAATAGGGTTGTCACTTGTAGCATTCTGCAACACCACATAGATTTCAGTAAGTTCAGGAGTCAAGCATTAACAAATCCAACTGAAGGAAATAATATATTGTTTAGCAACTTACCTGTAATATAGCTTCTAGTGTTACATTTTGCTTTAAACAAAAGACAAATTTTCGTTTTAGTTACAATTCTTATTATAGATCAACTGTTGTCTGCAAAATATATCAGTGTCATCCTCTAAGACCAAGCACTCCAGTTCACTATCTTGGCTCAGCGGCTTCCAGCAATAGGGTCTAAACACTCGGATACAGTCTGTCTCTCTTCAAGCGTCTTCGGCACTTGCATTTTAACTTGCAGTGTTTTGGTCTCTCGCAATTACTACCCTGGGCCCCTGCACTCCCATTTAAATTTTCATCAGTTATGTCATCGGAGGGAGGCTAGTTTCAAACCAGAGTCGCCTCAGAGAGTCTGCTTCCCCCCTCAATCAGTTTAAAAGCTGCTCTGTGACCGTTTTGGTTTTAATTGCCAACAGTCTGGTTCTATTCCAGTTTGGGTGGAAACCATCCCTTTTGTACAGGCCTGGCTTGCCCCAGAATGTTCCCCAGAGCCTAACAAATCCAAACTGCTCCTCCTGGCACCATTGTCTCCTCCTTGCACTGAAACCACAAAGATGCGCCTCTCAGCTGGCCCTGTGCATGGAACTGGTAGTGTTTCAGAGAAAGAACCTTGGAGGTATCCTACCTACCAACCTAAATTTGGCTTCCAGGACCAGGCGACTATATTTCCCCGTTGTTTAGTGCAACATGCACTACGACCACTGGCTCCTTCCCAGGGCTATGCACCAGGCTATCTAGGTGGAAGGAAAGCAGTCTGCTATTTATGTTCCTAAGGACCATACTGCCCATTAGCACAATCCCTGCACCTACCAGAGAAGTACGCTCAGCATGAGAGAAGAGATGTTCTTCCCCAAGGAATGCCTTTCTCTTCCTCAAGGTAACACTCTCCTTCCCCAAGACCCTCATTCTCAACAGCATGGCAGCTGTCATCATGGGAGCGGAGCGGAGCTACAGTGTCCCTGCAGACCTCGCCCACCTTTCTTGCCTTCACCAGGAGCTCGCTGCAACTTTAGACACACCCACAACGTTTGCCCAACAAGGAGACCATCATGCAAACCCCATGTATCCAACAGGTGCAAGGGAAGCTTTTATTGCTCCAAGAGGATTTTGGAAACTGGCTGGTTTTTCTGAAAGGGCTGGTGCTGTGCTGTTTTAATTCTAATTTTTTGTATGGTTTTAATAATTTTATATATGTATGTAGTTTTAATTCTCTCTGTGTTTTTAATGCCAGTATCCTCTATTTTTAGTGACTATGATTTTTATCTGTAAACTGCCTTGAATCCCGTCAGGAGAAAGGCATGTATGTATGTATATATGTATGCATAAATACCATATACCATACATATTCCACACAGACCCACATACACATCAATGCCACATCAATGTAGATACAGTCTTACTGCTTTGAAATCAGCATCAGCATCTGAATCTTCTAAACTTTCTTCTTGGGGCACATTTCTTTTTTTCAGAAGATGTTCATCTCTTTTATTCTGAAGAACAAAGAGCCAAGATAGTGCATTTGAATGCCTTTAATGTTTGTTTGTCTGTTAATTTATTTAAATGCTAATGTTAATATTATAGGACTGACCAGTAACAGTAACTCACAAACATAAAATGGTAGAATATAATGAAATACAGGATGATAAAATAGTAGTATCATAAAACACACTGTCTAAAACATTTCCAGCACAATAAAATCAATTACTTTTTTTTAAAAATCACAACACTTAAGCAGTATTATTATCTTAAAAGAGTAAAATCACAGGGTTTTTGCTTTGTTTTTAATTTCCCCAGCACTTAAAAACAGTATTCACCTGGCACCAGAATGAGTATAAGGTAAATTCCAGGTGGGCCTCTCTGAGAAGGGCATTCTACAACTGAGGTGCCTCAACCAAGAAGAGCTTCTCCCTGGTTTGGTCCAACTGTAGCTTCAGGGCTGTATGGTGCATTGCAATAATCTAAATGTAAGGTTACCAGAGCATGCATAATTGTGGCGAGACCATATCCACCCATCATTGAAACTGGCATATGAACCAGAATACGTATATGACTGGTTGCATTATTTCCAGGTTAATGAAATGTTTAAAAAAGATATAAAAGAAAGTGGTTATGGAGAAAAAGAGTCAAAGTTTCAAACAGATATAATAAACAATGAATGTAAAATTTTGTCAAAAATGTATAAAATATTGTTGGAATGGAATACGAAAGATGAAGAGGTCAAATCGGTAATGATACAATGGGCCAAAGACTTTGGGTACAATATTCAATTTGATGACTGGGAAAAACTGTGGAAAGAAAATTTAAAATTTACTGCATGTACGGCGTTGAAGGAAAATGTTATGAAAATGTTTTATAGATGGTACATTACACCGGTAAAACTAGCAAAAATGTATAAGATATGCAATAAGTGTTGGAAATGTAAGGAAAAAGAAGGAACGTTTTATCATATGTGGTGGGAATGTAAGAAAGTGAAAAGTTTCTGGGAAGCGATATACAATGAATTGAAAAAGATGTTAAAATATACTTTTGTAAAGAAACCAGAAGCTTTTCTTTTAGGGATTACAGGAAAGGAAATAAGGATTGCAAACTTTTTCAGTATGCAGTCACAGCGGCAAGAATTTTACTGGCCCAGAAATGGAAACAAGAAGAAATACCGACGATAGAAGAATGGAGAACGAAAGTGACAGACTATGCGGAATTGGATAAATTAACTGGGAAAATTAGATATGCGTGAGACCAAAAGTTCATCGAAGACTGGGGAAAGTTTGTAGAATATCTGAAAAATGTATGTGATGTACAAACAATGCTAGTGGGGTTTCAAGAGGCACTGTAAAAGTTGAGATGTATTGTTAAAAAGAAATAGAAGGGGGAGGGAAGACAAATGGCAATACAAATGAAGGGAATGCGTACTGAAGAGATAAATACGGATGATTGCCAGAGAAGCTGAAGGAAGTCCAAAAAGAGATAATTTGTTAAAATTTGGATAAAAATGTACAATTGTATTGGAAAATTAATAAAAATTTATTTTTTAAAAAAGAAACTGGCATATGAACCAAGGCGGATAAAAGCTGCTCCAAGGCAGAGAAGCCTATTGGACCTCAGCTGACAAGTCTGGCATAATACGTACCCCTGATTTTGAACCCAGTTCTTTAAGGGCAGTGCAACCTCTTTCAGAATAGGTTGACCGCTACTAACAGGCTATAAACAGAGAGACACTTGCAACTGATAATTTGTTAATTGTAACAATGTAAATTGTTTCTCCATATATTAAATCCATTTAAATACACAAATGAATCCTGCGGCCCCTTCTAGATGAGCAGAGTTATTGAGGAGGAGAAGTTTGGACTTGATATCCCGCTTTATCACTACCCGAAGGAGTCTCAAAGCGGCTAACATTCTCCTTTCCCTTCCTCCCCCACAACAGACACTCTGTGAGGTGAGTGGGGCTGAGAGACTCCAGAGAAGTGTGACTGGCCCAAGGTCACCCAGCAGCTGCAGGTGGAGGAGCGGAGACGCGAACCCGGTTCCCCAGATTACGAGTCTACCCACATTGTCAGATGCGTACGCTCAGGCTGCCCATACACACTTACTTGGGAGAAGGCAGCACTAAACTCAATGTGACTTACTTCTGAGCAAAATGTATAAGACTGTACTGTCAAATACAAACATATACATGGATATAAAGAAAAAATGTAAACAATTTGTAGGAGACCAAAATAGGTAGTGCGGTCAATAGTATTTTTACACTAAACTGAAATAGCTATACAGAGCAATAAAGATTGGTGAGAGAGATTTTCAGTACTACTATGCTAATTTATGAAGTATAGTGGGAAAGAAAACTTTGGTCTCAAATGAGTCCTAAATCAATATAACCCAACTAACTGGTCAACTTGTTGGCATCTGTTTGTCTTGAGAGACAATGGAGTGCACCTTTGGGGGTGAAGTCAAATTGCTGTGTTAGCAACACTGAAGTGACCTCCTTGGGGTGGGAAGCCTGGGAGATGTGTATGGAGATTGTTATGTGTGCCGGCGTGGTTGCTCAAGAGCAAACAGGCAAGACTTCCCCATTGGTCTCTTCAAGGCTTTATTATCTGTCCAAAACGTTCACAATGCAGATCGACTCAATTCCTTGTCTGCTCAGTCGCTAGCAGAATCTGGGAGTGGGCAGTCCTTAAACTTTCCCCAGCAGAGTAGTTTTTTGACCCCCATGCTACGCCTCCCCTCTCTTCGCGTAAACCTACTGCGCAAAGAGGGCGTGGGCAGAGGGGGACCTGCCTCCCCCCCCCCCCGCTTTGTTCATGCTCGGTGCTGTGGCTCTCCCTTGCATCCTCCGAACCCTGCACCCCTTCCCCACTGGAGGCGTGGCTTCCCTCCTCCGCGGAGGAAGTACCACTGATGTGGTTCAAAGGACAGCAGAGCTATACGACTGGAACCAGCTTGGCTGCAAGAGTTGCTGGAAGGAGGCAAACAAGGTGCCATCCAACCATCTTAGGGACTCTGCTCCAGATTTGTGTAGGGTTTAGTACTCCTTAGCCTTTTCTTCTCCTGAAGATCTCCCGCAAGGCAGCAGAAGGTTAGGATCAGAGTTTTCGTTCTCCTAGATGGGCTACCTAATCAACAAACTGATCTTTATTTGATAAGCAATTAGATTTTCTGTTGGGACATTTTGAGAATGGACTCAGCGATAGAGGGCCAAAGCCCAATGTCTGATCGCAAATTATGTTGCTACAATTGGTACTTTCTTTTGCCTCTGACTGACAATTTCAGAGACTGCAAATCTCTCAGGACAAGAGATTTGGCCCAGATGCCTCCGACTGCTGACCTCTAGTACATAGTCTCTTGAAAACAAATTCTTTACTAGATATTCATATTTAAAACTATTAATAATGAAAAACACATTTAAATTTAGTTATGAGCAGGAGTATTTCAAACTCAGATACCTATACTATGTATCTTAATCCTGTGTAAGCAAACTGAAACTGATCACTACAGCATTGACTATTCTTTGTACTTAGCAAACTGCTTCACTAATTCATGTTTATTTAGGAACTACTCACAGTACAATCCTAAACATATCTACTCAGAAGTACATCCCACTGCATTCAACAGGATTTACTCTCAGGAAAGTGTGTACAGGATTACAGTGGTACCTCGGGGTTAAGAACTTAATTCGTTTCGGAGGTCTGTTCTTAACCTGAAACTGTTGTTAACCTGAAGCACTACTTTAGCTAATGGGGCCTCCCGCTGCCGCCGCGCAATTTCTGTTCTCATCCTGAAGCAAAGTTCTTAACCTGAGGTACTATTTCTGGGTTAGTGGAGTCTGTAACCTGAAGCGTCTGTAACCCGAGGTACCACTGTATAACCAAACAGTTCCAGCTCTTTCTTTCAGAAGCCTGACCCAGTGAAACATTGTTCATAGGCTTAAGAGGTTTTGGGCCTTAGTTGTGGGTGGTGTTCTTCTGAGAAAGAGGAAAGGCACCATCAAGGACACCTTCAAGCACAGACAACCACAGACAAAGGAAGTAAAGTCTCAAAAGCAAATTAAAAATGGGGAGAACATAATGGAACTCTGGCAGAATGTCTTACAAAAAACAAACCGTTGCTCTGCCAGATTCAGAAATCTGGACACAATAATGTACTTGATGCTTTCCTTGTAGACACATGACATAATAGTATCTGGTGAGGACACAATCTTTTCAGCGCTCTCCCAAGTCACACATGAACCTCCATAGCTGAAACCTCTCATGGCCGCTTTAAACAAAGCATAAACAAATAAAAGTGATATACTCACCTTTCTAAGTTCAATTGTCACCTCATTTCTATGTCTTCGCATAGTCTGTAGAAGAGAAAAACAGAAACATACAACACACAAATGAAGTAATAGTACTAAAGCCTATGATGATTCAGTTTAACTCTCTTTAACCAATTTTAGGGAACTTACAACTATACACCAGGCTAGATGTTACAGAACTTTATTCCACTGATTATGAGATGTGTCATACTAATTTTCTACAAGGCAGAGTGAGGAGGCCATTTAAAGTAAAACATGGGTGGGAAGGAATACCACAACCATCCCTAATGCCATCATTTTCTCCTCCCAAAAACTATTTTGCTCAAGTTGTTTTTCTGCAGTGATTCCAAAAGCAACATTCACCGAGAGAAAAAATAGCTGAGGAAATTTCAAGGAGAATTTTTGCATGTGGGAAGGGCTCAGATGCTGTGCCTGCGTTTGCCATCCGCACACCAAGGAAAGTGGCACAGCTGACATCGTGACACACCAATCGCAGCCATGGAGCTTCTTGTTTGGTCTTTCTTGCAAATGAATGCTGAACAGTGAAAAAAGACATGCAAAATGTAGCACTGCAGGACAACAGAAAAATTGTAGAATAATTGTAGGAAATTTGCTGGAGAGATTACACACATCTGAACCATTGTTTTGGGAAATTACATTTGGTTCACACAAAAGGAGATGAGGTGGTAAACATTCACTTCAAAAGAAAGAAGAGGCCAGCATCAAAAAACAATACAGAAAAGAGAGACAAGCTTCAAAATGTTGTCAAAATATATGAAGAACTTTAATAAAAAGATCAACGGTCTGATGTGTTTTAATAGAAACCTTCCTCAGGGGAACAGAACCGTAACTAATTCAATATATGTGTGTGTGCGCGCGCGCATGCGTGTTATCACATCAGCTGTATGGATAAGAAAATTTAACTGTGCAGCAGCAATTGATTTGGATGAAAATATTTATTATTCTGCTGTCATTCATTATAAGTGTGTTGTTGTTGTTTAGTCGTTTAGTCGTGTCCGACTCTTCGTGACCCCCTGGACCAGAGCACGCCAGGCACCTCTGTCCTCCACTACCTCCCGCAGTTTGGTCAAACTCATGCTGGTAACCTCGAAAACACTATCCAACCATCTCGTCCTCTGTCGCCCCCTTCTCCTTGTGCCCTCCATCTTTCCCAGCATCAGTGTCTTCTCCAGGGAGTCTTCTCTTCTCATGAGGTGGCCAAAGTACTGGAGCCTCAGCTTCACGATCTTTCCTTCCAGTGAGCACTCAGGGCTGATTTCCTTAAGAATGGATGCGTTTGATCTTCTTGCAGTCCATGGGACTCTCAAGAGTCGTCTCCAGCACCATAATTCAAAAGCATCAATTCTTCGGCGATCAGCCTTCTTTATGGTCCAGCTCTCACTTCCATACATCACTACTGGGAAAACCATGGCTTTAACTATACGGACCTTTGTTGGCAAGGTGACGTCTCTACTTCTCAAGATGCTGTCTAGGCCTGTCATTGCCCTTCTCCCAAGAAGCAGGCGTCTTTTAATTTCGTGGCTGCTGTCACCATCTGCAGTGATCTATAAGTGTGTATATATATGCTATTTCTGGTTTTGCTTATATATGTTGTCTTTTAATTCCCTCCATTTAAGGAATTAAAAGCCATCCGGGACAGTGGAGAAACGCGCTGCCTTTCTCCGCTCTCCCGGGAAGGCAGGCAGGGGGGAGCAAAGACTTTCGCCCCCGCCCGCCTTCAGAAGAGGTCCAGGACCTCTTCTGAAGGCGGGCGGGGGGGCGAAAATCTTTGTCCCCCCTGCCTGCCTTCCCAGGGGCTTTTAAATCGCCCCGGACAGCGGAGAAGTCCTCCGCTGTCCCGGGCGATTTTAAAATGCCGCCCGCCAGCATTTTAAGATTGCCCCGGACAGCGGAGAAGTCCTCCGCTGTCCCGGGGTTTTTTAAAATGCTGGGGGTGGGAAGAAAAGCCCTTGTCCCCCCCCCAGCCTTCAGAAGAGGTCGGGGGACAGACTGTCCCCGGACCTGGTCTGAAGTCGGTTTCCCTAGGAACGCATTAATTGATTTTCAATGCATTCCTATGGGAAACCGTGCATCGCAAGACGAAAAACTCGCAAGACGAAGAGACTTGCGGAACGAATTAATTTCGTCTTGCGAGGCACCACTGTGTGTATATATATATATATATATATATGTGTGTGTGTGTGTGTGTGTATGTATAGAATAACTTTACATAGACCACATTTGTGCATAATGCTAAACCATGGTTTTAGCACTGTACTGAATAAGCCCAAGCAAAGCACAAACTCTCATGCTCCCTCTTCCCTGGCCTTCCCACAGTTTCATGTGTTTTTTAAAATTCTGCTCATTTTTCTTCTCCTTAGCATTCTCAAATAGCATTCTGTTTGGGCCAGGTTTAAAACAAACTCTAGTTAATTTAGCAGCTTTATAACCCATCATTTAAGGGACCTTTCTAAGAGGTTTACCAGAGGGCCACAATGTATACATAAATAGTTTTGTATAAATAAACAAACCGAGAATAAGTGGTTAAGAGCTAGTTAACTAAAAGGCAAAAGCCAGGATTAAACCATTCTCAAAATAAAGGAGTGTACAGTGGTACCTCGGGATGCGAACGGGATCTGTTCCGGAGCCCCGTTTGCATCCTGAACAAAATGTAAGACCCGACTGTGCGTCTCGCGTTTTGCCGCTTCCACACATGCGCGCGACGTCATTTTGACCGTCTGCACATGCGCATGCGACGAAACCCGGAAGTAACGCACTCCGTTACTTCCGGGTCGCTGTAGAGCGCAACCCAAAAATACTTATCCTGAAGCGTATTTATCCCGAGGTATGACTGTATATCCCATCATAGATCTGTACTTGGATTGGTGTTAACATGTGCAAAAATGAAAAATAAGTCAGCCTAATTTTTTAAAAGGAAATTGTGTTCAACCAAAGGTGAACTGTCTAGGAGCTTTACTAATGCCATCTTGGGAATCAAGACAACCCCACAATGAATTGGCGAGTGTTGTAGCAATGAGCTTGTATAGGTTTATAATCACTTGCTTGGATATAAGCTAATGGGCTTCCTTTCATGCTATCCTTATCTGTGAGCCCAGAAAGGGGAACTGTCTGTAAGACTTGGGGATTTGCCGCCTATGCCACATCTGGGCAGGTGAAGCGATGAGAAGTGCTAGGTAAAGTGACTGTGTGGAACCCAGTTCAGCTACTGATTGATTGTGTGACTACAGTACATTATTTATTGCTTTCATTTAATAATAATAATAACAATAATAATAATAATAATAATAATAATAATAATAATAATAATTTATTATTTGTACCCTGCCCATCTGGCTGGGTTTCCCCAGCCACTCTGGCTGGCTTCCACAAAGAGCAAAAATACACTAAGATGTCACACATTAAAAACTCCCCTGAACAGGGCTGCCTTAAGATGTCTTCTGAATGTCAGGTAGTTGTTTATCTCTTTGACATCTGATGGGAGGGTGTTCCACAGGGCGGGCGCCACTACCGAGAAGGCCCTCTGCCTGGTTCCCTGTAGCCTCACTTCTCGCAATGAGGGAACCGCCACAAGGCCCTCGGCGCTGGACCTCAGCATCCGGGCAGAATGATGGGGGTGGAGATGCTCCTTCAGGTATACTGGGCCGAGGCCGTTTAGGGCTTTAAAGATCAACACCAACACTTTGAATTGTGCTAAGAAACGTACTGGGAGCCAATGTAGGTCTTTCAAGACCGGTGTTATGTGGTCTCGGCGGCCACCCCCAGTCACCAGTCTAGCTGCTGCATTCTGGATTAGTTGTAGTTTCCGGGTCACCTTCAAAGGTAGCCCCATGCAGAGCGCATTGCAGTTGTCCAAGCGGGAGATAACTAGAGCATGCACTACTCTGGCGAGATAGTCCGCGGGCATGTAGGGTAGGCATGTAGCCTGCGTACCAGGTGGAGCTGGTAGACAGCTGCCCTGGATACAGAATTGACCTGCGCCTCCATGGACAGCTGTGAGTCCAAAAAGACTCCCAGGCTGCGCACCTGGTCCTTCAGGGACACAGTTACCCCATTCAGGACCAGGGAATCCCCCACACCCATCCGCCCCCTGTCCCCCAAAAACAGTACTTCTGTCTTGTCAGGATTCAACCTCAATCCATTAGCCACCATCCATCCTCCAACCGCCTCCAGGCACTTACACAGGACCTTCACCGCCTTCACTGGTTCTGATTTGAAGGAGAGGTGGAGCTGGGTATCATCTGCATATTGATTGATGGATGGGCTAATGATCTTGTTGGATAGTAAAATTCATGCTAAATTGCTGTTTTAGGGGTTGTTTTAAAATGTCTGGAACGGATTAATCCATTTTGCTTTCTATGGGAAGGCGCGCCTTGGTTTTAGAACACTTTGGTTTTGGAACAGACTTTCGGAATGGATTAAGTTTGAGAACGAAGGTACCACTGTAGTGCCAAATCCCCATTCTCTCCTTCCCTCATTCCTCATGTCTTGCTTCCCAATCGCAGTGCTACAAATACTGTTCATCCATCTACAATTTTATTTATCCTCTTGAGCTGGTATGTAATAGAACCATGTGGCACTTCCTGGTGAGCCAGATCTGGTCCAAGGACTAACAACTGTTCAACCTGAGCACATAGGCTGAGCTGAGGCTTAAAAAACAAAACAAAACAAAACAAAACAAAAAAACTTTAAAACCACCATGGCCGAAATTGCATTGTCTAATTACAATAGTGTATTTTATATTTATATTGGTTTCCTGTGTAACTAATAAGAGCCTGGGTTAAACCACAGAGCCTAGGGCTTGCCGATCAGAAGGTCGGCGGTTCGAATCCCCACGACGGGGTGAGCTCCCGTTGCTCGGTCCCTGCTCCTGCCAACCTAGCACTTCGAAAGTACATCAAAGCGCAAGTAGATAGATATTTTTCGCCCCATAGGACGCACCAGCCCATAGGACGCATCAAGTTTTTTTTTTGGGGGGGGGGGAAATAAAGAAAAAAAAAATTATTTCCTCCCCCAGGCGCTTGTGG